GATATTACGTAAGAGCATATATATATTGGGCTGCAATGTCCTGGCAACCTGCATTCATCACTCGTGCTTTTTTTTTTTATTTTTTCATTTCAAATTTGAGATTGAAGAAAGGATATTTGTATAGGGTGCCCCAAGCGGACCTTCCGCTGTAAAACAAGCCGGACAAATCGGCATTTGCTCATGGATAGCTCTAACTTTCACCGAATGTGCATTGAGCAGGTCAGTTATACCGTGTGAAATTTCAAAGCACAGTTCTCTTTTTGTACGAAATGAGAGCAACAAAATTGCCAAAGTCAAGGTTGGGTGCATTTGCAGACAATCGAGTAAGCAGCACTATTTACTTGCGGCGCAATCTCCCAATAGGTGCAGCGAGCAGACGATGCACTCTGTTGTCTGCTCGCTCCGCCTATCCGGAGATGGCACTACAAATAAGTAGCATCGGTTAGTCGGTCGTCTGATAGTGCGCTCAACCTTGACTTCAGCAATTTTTAGCACTAATATTTTATAAAAAGAGCTATGCTTTGATATTTCACACAGTAAAACTGGCTTGCTGAGTGCACATTCGGTGAAAGTACTAGCTTTTTATGCGCAGCTGCCGATCTTTCTGGCTCGTTTTACGGTAAAAGGTCCGCTTGAGGCACCCTATATATAATGAAAAGTTTTATTAATCCCCTCAATTATGCGTAGCTGGGCTTATCTGCAGGTTTAATTTTACGTCAAATCCATAGTTCATCTGCCACCCCATCGTAGGCATTGATCCTTCTGAAGCCACAGTTCGTAAACATAGGTAGTTTGATTAAAATAAACTGAGTTTAGAGGTGGACAAGTGAAAGCTTGGGAACGATTTTCACGAGCTCAGCTGGATTTTCGTTTAACTCTTTGACGGTCATCGCTGCACATGTACGGTGGCAATTAAACATCGGAAGGTTCCCATGTAAATGTGAAACCGTGTGCACACCAGGAGGTGTTACTACAGGTTATGCCTTTGAAGAACCATAAACACTGTATTCGCACCCTGTTTTGCTTTGCTAGGGCTATTTATAGTTTTAAAAATGGACGCTCGTTGCACGGAATTCGCGGGATATGCTTGCCGTATTTACTCGCACAATGAACGCACTCGCGTAATGAATGCACCCCCCAAGTCGACTCTCAAAAGTTCGACTTTTTTTTTCACTCGCGTAATAAACGCACCCCCAACTTGGACGTCAAAGTTTTGACCCCCTCCCCCACGCGCGCGAAATGAACGCACTTTTTTATCCTGGTGCAGCGAGATCGCCAATGCATGGGCAGCGTGGGCAAACAAAACGCCTTAGGCGTTAAAAAAAATTCGCAAAGGTCCAACGGAAACAAGAAAAAAAAAAAAAAAAAAAAAACATGGAGAGGAGCTTTTTTTTTTTTTTTTTTTGCACAGCGGAGTTTGGATTTCGGGTTCGCGCGCCGCCGCGCGCAAGGAGGTAAGAAAGAGAAGCGGAGAAGCGCTCTAAAGCGCGATCCAAACCAACGCTTCTTTTTGCGCCTGTAGGTCGTGCGGCTGCGGTTGTGACGCATTTCGTGGCGTTTTTGCTGTTTCCGGGCGCGCTTTCTGAGTCAGAACCGTGCGCTTTGGTTTGAACGGGCAAAACTTTGGGCGAGCGCGCACGCAGGCACGAACGCACAAGCAAAGTGCAACTGCGACAGACTGGCCGGCCAGACGGCGAGAGAAAGAGAGAGAGAGAGATCGCGTTGTCATGTTGGAAGAGAATAAAAGGGAGGGAGGAGAGGGCAGCCAGACGGCGAGAAACGCGGAGCCGGAACTAGCTTGCCCTCCACCGATTGGCCGGGACACAGGAGCGCCCTTCTACGTCACCGCGCGTTTTTGTGCGTGTTCAGAAAGAAGTTGAAATCAACCAACGTCCTTATGGGCGCCCGGAAGGAGCGAAGAGCCGGCACGACGTCACGAAAATACGTCACATCTGCAGCCGCACGACCTACAGGCGCAAAAAGAAGCGTTGGTTTGGATCGCGCTTAAGCGAACGAAACAGTTTGCGAAAGCCGGCTAAAAGAAGAAAAAAAAATCCCACGAAACAAGACAAAAAAAAAAAAAATATTAAGAGGAGCTATTTTTTATTTTTTTTTTATTTTGCACAGCGCAGTTTGGTTACGGGGGGTCGCGCGCCTCGCGCAAGGAGGTAAGAAAGAGGAGCGGAGAAACCCTCTAAGCGAACAAAACAACTTGCAAAAGGCGGCAAAAAAAAAAAAAAAAAAAAAAAAACCAAGGGAACTAAGAAAAAAAGAAAACAAAGGAGTTTTCTTTCTTTTTTGCACAGCTTAGTTTGGTTACGGGGTCGGGCGCCGCGCGCAAAGAGATGAGAAGTTACTTCGAGTTTTCAGGATAAAAGGTCCGTTCATTATGCTATGCGAGTAAATACGGACGCAAAAATTTTACTTCGCGTAATGAACGCCCCCCCCTCCCCCAACTTTGCATCGATTTTTCGGGAAAAAAAGTGCGTTCATTCTGCGAGTATATACGGTACTTTGCGTGTTGTCTACTCTAGCGTGAGGGGCCATAGAAGCGCCGGCTCTTGCAAGTCAGAATTTTAAGGCTTCTCAGGTGTTAATGTAGAGGATAAGAGTTTACCGTCCGATAAAGAGGCTCAAGTGCTGTAATTGCTTCCGTTAAAAAATTACAAAAAAAAACAAAACAAAAAAAAACCTGCACATTGACTTTTTTTTTATAATGCCCCTTTGGAAAAAAAAAAAAAAAAACTGGAAAGGGGTTAAGCAGGGTGCAATAGTAGTGAGAGGCTTGAAAAGCTTTTCAATATTCAATTCGAAAATATTTGGCCGAAATCACTATACGCACATTCTTGCTCTGGCTGGTGCAGCTGCAGAGTCTGTCTTTTGTAAGCGGCTTAAAAATGCAGAAAACAGTTTGGTGCAAACTTTTATGGCGAACCAAAGAAGCTATTGATGTACAACTGCACACTGTACCTCAAAACCTTCGGGACAGTCCCTGCATCGGCTTCATCTAAGTCTGGAGAAAGGGCTATGCGTGATAAAATATACGTGGATTGCATCAACAACAGCTGCTCGGGTGAAGAACTTCGTAATGGCTCTCGTCGTCTGATTTTCTCGGTGGCCCCTTCTCAAAGGCGCAGTATGCGACTGCGAAGTCCTCTGTGGCGGTGACATTGTCCTCGATTGTAAAGGACAAACTTGCATTACAGTCGTTGACCGATTTTTCGGATGCCGATTATTCGGACTTCGATATTTCGCACCTAAGAGAGGAACCGCGGCCTGCCCGATAGAAATAGTGTGTATTCACGACCATTGTTTCAAAGACCTTAAAGTTCAAAAGTTAAACCTTTCGGACAAAATTGTTGCAAGCGATCGCGATCAAGGGGAAGCACCACTATTTTAGATTCTTTGTTGGCTGCACATGCATTGGCTTGGATTGGCAGTGCTATTTGAGGACTGCGAAGTCCTACCGCTAAGTGACGCTATGCGCCAACTTTTTTTTCTTTGGCTACAGGTCATTATCATTATCCTTGTTACCATTTCGCTTTGTTCATTCGTCATTCTGCTGTCGCGGACTTGGGCCTCTCATCTCGTTTCGGTGAATCCTGTTTTCGGAGTACGCTGGCTTGGACGTTATGGCCCTTTATTCTTTTGCCACTGCAAAGTGTCGCTAAGAAATGCAGAAAATACCTGACCAAATCACTAGGAAAGAGGGCAGCGATTCTTGAGCTACCGTATTTACCCTAATATACGTTAACCACAAATATAGGTCAAAACACTTATACTAAACTTGCCACAAAAGAAAAAAAAAATTGGTTGACATTTCTTTTTTTTTTTTTTGTTTGTTAAAGAACAGAGGAAGGTTTGGGCAAAAGAAAGAAAACAAACCTTTATTTACAGCGTTCTCAGCTAATCGCAGTTCGATGCCAGGAACTTTGTCATTGTTAGAACTTCCAGATATGTCATCGTCATCGGAAGCTTCGTCAGCTTCGTTGACATCCTCACAAATTCGCAACGTTCTCACTGACACCGTTGCAAAATGGCGACAATAAGAAATGAAAGAAGGTGGTGGAGACGGGCAGAGCGACGAAAAAGCAAATACAAAGACGTGAGCAACGCCGTGAACGACAAGCAAAAGTAATCTCCGTATTTTCTTTTGCTGTGTGTCCGCGAAGGGGAGAGGGGTGGAAAGGAGGGGAGGGGGAACGGTATGTGGCACGTCGCATCTTCTCTCCCCTCCCCTGCTGCGTCGTGAGGCGCACGCGTGAACGGCGCCAGCTGCGGACAGGCGCAAAACCCGACGCCCAAGGGACGTTTGGTCGTTTTCGTGCACCAAAAGCTGTCTGAAACAAGAACTGGCGCGGTGCCACGGTAGCGCCAGTTCAGCGACTCGACAGCTTTTTGTATAGGTAGGATCACGAAATTTTGTCATGAACGTAGGTCGAAATCTTCTGGTCACAACTATAGGTCAACCCTTCATCTTTGACAACATTTCCGAAAAACAAAAAGTCGATTTATATTCAAATAAATACGGTAATAGAAAACGGTCGAATGCTGGCGGAGGCGCAACCCAAAGCGGGGCACCATTGATGGCCCGCTCTATTATTCAGACGTCTTTTCAGTCCCTGCGAAGTCCGAAGATTCGGTCGGCAACCATACTCAAACGAGCGCTTCCTTCCCTATACTCTTCGAGTCATTTAACTCGCATTTCACTCCAGGTGTCCGGAAGGCGTCTCCAACTAGTGCGTTTACCGCATCCAAAAGAGTGGTCCCTCGCTTTTTTTAAAAATATTTTGTCATATTTTGCCGCAACTTGTGGGCCCAGCCGCCGAGGCGGCTACATCCAACGGCGCGCTACACCAGTTTCCGCGACATCGTCTGTTACCCCTTTTGAAGCAGGGGCAGGAGGGGACGTTAAACGCGCTGCTCGAGGACGCGTTCCGGTCGCCGTAATTTCACCGCCGATGAGAACCGGCGTCTGATGGAGTGACGTCGCCGTGCAGGGAGCGCCTGCAGAGGGAGTGGCGCAAGGAGCGTCTTCTGGTGGTGGACCAGTCCGTGCTGCAACGGGAGCGGGAGCGAGAACAGCGCAAGGAAGAGGCACAGCGCGGTGAGTGGGAAGCCGGTCGACTTCTCGACATCCCCGTTACGAACGATCCCATCTCGACGAAAAAGAGCTTCGAACAAAGTGGTAACGGCGGGAAGAGCTTGAGGAGCCTGCCAGGATGCCTCGTACCCTCAACTAATGTCTCGCTAAGAGGTCTCCAAAGAAGGAGTCGAGAGCCTGGGGCCTCTCGAGGGACTCTTATTTGAGTTGGTTCGAACGAGGCTCTTCCGCTACATAAGTTCGCTTTACAATCGAGATCCTTCTGCCGCGATGCATATTTTTTCATCGCTATTATGTCTCGAAGAAAGTGTCGGTGTCGCCAGCTGATGTTTCTATTCTAGCAGCCACAGTTAACCCTTTGTCAACTCAATTTTTTTCTTCAAGGAACATCGAGCGAAATTTTCTTTTAAAAAGACAAAAACATTTCCTCAACTTCCAGATGTGGTATCTTGCTCTAAATCGGGACTTATGGTTCGAGTCCCACTGACATGCAGACTTTGAAGTTGATGAAATGCATGCAGGATTCACATTGTTTTCATCACTCCTGTCAATATACATCAAACTATTGTCCAATTCTGAAAAATTGGAAAGGATGAAGGATTCATCAACACAAATGCCCGAGCGTTAATCACTTTCTCAAAGGAGGTTCCGTATCTCTTCGTTGACTACAGCGGGCCTTTGCCCCGTTTTAGATTCAGAGTGCGTCATCCCTTTATCGCTGGCATAAAAGTTTTTTTGTTTGTTTGTTTTGTTTTTTTTTGTCGAAAGAAAATATTTTTTTTTAACTTTTTTTGGAATGAAGTAGGTACTGATTCTTTTGTTAAATTTCGGGGGAGATTGTAGAGTTATCTTTGTGAATTGGCATGAAGGGCCGTCCATAGTACTACTTTGTGTATTGGAGGCTTTGGCGTTTGGACTGTTTAGAGGTTGTCCCTTTGTGTAGGTTGTGGCTTTTGGAGGGTTTGGCGTTTGAACTGGTTAGAAGTTGCCCCTTTTGTGTTGGTGGTGGCTGATTGCGGGCTATATTAGGAGGTGGACTAAATAAACCTGGTAGCTGAGTTTGAGACGTCGTCCTGTCCTTTTCTATCCCTTCAACTTATTTGTTCACTTCTGCCCCAGTCTCAGGTTATTCAACACGGTTAACATTCGCCAGATTGCCTGCACCCTTACTATATTATAGCAGTAAATTAATGTTGTAGAAAGAAACGTATGCCAGGAGGCAGCCAGTCAGGGAAAGAAGCTGTCGAGAAAGTCGGAATTGATGATACTGGGAAGTGGGTATTTCATTCCAACGTGTTTAGAGGAAAAATAGGATTTTGAAAACAATCTACGCAAAGTTGTATATCATTTAGGTTTCCCAGACGAGAAGTTCTAGCGTCGTTTCCTGCGGAGAAACCAAACAGGTCGCTGTCATTGATACAAAGGTCACTCGTGACCGCGTGTTGGGAGGTTTTTCACCTATCGTTTCTTGCACGGTGTGTAGGAGAAGTTGGGTTAGTTTGCTTTTTTAATTAGGACGGCTCGTCGTGCCGTCCGCATTGACTAAAAATAAATAGAAGAGCCTTTCTTTGTACCGTTCCCAACCTGCAAACTTTTACGAGATACTGAGGGGTCCCTGAACTCTCAGATTCGTGCTTAACCGTTGCGTGACAAAGGCCACATGGTCTCGTTTTGCTTCAGTGGCCGAGGGAAGCAAGCCCGCGCAATACTCGGCGAAGTCCGGTAACGGCATGGCGAGGGACCGGAGTCGCAGCCCCCTTCCCAAGGCGAGCGGTCCAACCGCCCCTTCGGACGACCGATTTGACAACATCCCGGTAATCTCCCTGGACATCGAAGACGACCCCCTCACCGACATGGGTCAGTTTCAGGCTTCCTTTTGCTCGCCTTCTTTTCGGAATTGTTTAGTCGTTGCACTGGGAAGGAACTGAACAAAAGCCTCGGACTGACAGCTGATGTTTCGCCGCGCAGTAAACTTCCATTAACTTATCTTCCCGTTTAATGCGATCGTGCTCTAGAGTCCAAGTGGATTCGTGTCTATGGAGTTTACGTGTCTATTTTACTAAATTACGTGTCTATACTACTAATTAGCTAAATAATAAACTAAAATTTACCAATTAGCTTTTTAATTTGTGAAAATACTGAGAATTATTAAAAACCGCTAAATAATATCGTTTTAGAAAGATATAAGGCGGGTACAGCATTTTATGGCATTTCAAAAAAGAAACAACAACAAAACAAAAAGACTACATTCGAATGTATTTCTAGGTTTTGGCTTTCCATCGGAGCGCGTCTTTGCACTGGCAGTCCTGCCCCCTCTGTAGTCATGGCATGAAGCTCCCGCCTTGCTTCCCTCGTAGAATGGAAAAAAATAGGGCGCACATACGTTGTACTTTTTGGCCACCGGGCGGGGCAGGGCCGCTGACACAGAGATGCGCTCCAATGAAAAACCGAAACCTAAAAAAAAAAATTTTAAAATTGGGCATTTCTTTGGAATGTTATAAATCATTGCGCTTGCCTTATCACTTTCTAATATGAGTTAATTTAGTGGTTTTCAATGATGCCCACCTGGTTTTGAATTGGTACAGTATGTTAATCTTCTCTAATTAAAATGTTGATTAGTAAATTTTAGTTTATTTTTTAGGTAATTAGTATGTTTGTTGCAATCCCCAATGTCTGCCATGGCTCGCAAATAGTTCCCAGAAAGAGTTTCTTTTTATCTCAAACACTATATTTTTTAGAGATTTCTCAATGTCCTCGCTCGAAACACGCGAGATGTTTTGTATCCAGTCACTCAACAAAATAATGTTTTTTAGAGCTCATTGTCTCTTTAAGGCAGCCAGTGCCTTTGAACGATTCCCCTCGAGCGTCGAGTGTTCTGACTGGCAGCGTGCTTCGAATCGGTGTAAACGTATTGTTCTGATGGCTTTCAGTTAACGAGGCAAGAGGTTAGTATGTGAACTGGTCTCTCATCTCTCTGGTCTTGTCTGTCTGTATGTTGTACCTGTCACATGTACATTGCAAGCCCAGCACAGCTTGTTTCGTCCCTTGTTTACCCTGAGCTAATTGAAATGCAGCATGCCTTCATTAGCGCGCTCTTACCAGCACCTTTTCTCACCCGCGTTAATTACAATTTATATCCCATTTGGGCTGTCCAGATCGCTGGCCGGAACGGTAAATAACCTTCGCACGTGGCAGTCATTCAATAAAGCGATCGGCAGAAGCATGCCAAGTGCGGGGTTTTACGACTATGCCCGTTGCAGTCGAGGGTCCTTCGTGCGCTTACCGAGAGGCTATACTCCGTATCGCCTTACGACGGACCGCAGTGACTGCTGCTAGCCGTCCCGGCAAATCCAGTGCCATGAACATATCACGCAACTAGGTACGTTGCTTCATCCTTTTCGAATGTCACATGACACTCGCACGGCATTGGGACGGCAAAGACGTTTGGTTTCTAGCGTCCTCCGTGGCCCGTCGTAAGGCAAAACGGATCATAGTCTGTGTAGGAAGCTGTTTGGTTTCGACTTACTGCACGTCCGTCTGCGCCGTTTCTCTTTCTTGTCGGTTGTCTTTGTAGAGGAGGAGATGGAGAGTCCCACGAAGGCTGCGCAGCACGCTGCGGAAGCCACGCAGGAAGCGCAGCCAATGGCGACGGAGCCCGTCGGCCAACCGACGGCGCAGCGGCAGGCGGTTAACGACGACGATGACGACGATTCCGACCTGTCGTCGGATTCGAGCAGCGACGACGACAGCAGCGACTCCGACGGTGAGGTTTCTTTCTGGACTCCTGTTTTAAAGCAATAGTATGTGCCTGGAGCACATCTCCGACCGGTGCGTTTAGCGTCCTCTTTCGAATCAAATAAAATTGTTTCTTCTCTCATTCAGCAAAGAATGGGGGGAGGCCAAAGAAAAAAGCTGATAATTCAGCTTGACATTGTCCTCGGCCATCCTACAGAGGCAGTGGAAAAATGTACACGTAAGAGTTAGGAAGTAAAAGAGTTATTGAGTAAGAAACTGAAGTTCAGCTTTCCTTAAGGGAAACATAAACCTAAATTTCAAATTTTTTTTTAAAAATTCATTTTTTAATTTTGAGATTTTCAGTTTTAGAAACTAATTATACACCCTTACACTAAATTTGATAACCATATGCCAAATAGTTACGTTAATATAAAGTATTTTCAACACATTGTGAGGCAGTAACAAGGTAAAGGGGTTCAATGCTTAAATGTATTTTTCTTAGTTCCATTTTTTGCTGCAAATTTCATACAAAGAAATCTTTTGTTCGAAGGTAAAAGTATTCTGATACCAGAATCAACATGTTTCTGAACTGAAATTTACTGGGGAATCGGGCTATCTACTTTATTTTGTTTTAAGTTTAAGTCCTCATTGAGAAAAAGCCATGTTCTCAAAAATGGGCATAGGACAGATATGCATCTCACATTTTGAGGTAATAACCCTTCCTGAAATATTTAAATTTGAGATAAAAAGACTAGATAGCCCGAAGTCCCACATCCCCCACTTTATATTCAAGCAGTCAAAATGGTGCTTAATAGCTTCATTTGCATATCATAGATTTGTTAACGAACAGTGACACATCTTCTTATGCAGGTATGTAAAGTTGTCCTAGAGAGCTGAAAGTTTGCACAATACACCTATATCTGACTATAAATCTCCCCTGCAAATTTTATTCCGATTACTTGAGCAGTTCAGAAGTTCACCCTCAAGGCAGTGTCCCCCCTTAAAAAGCCTCAATTTCCAAAGAAACAAATGTCAGCTCAGATTAAAAGTAGACATACTAAAAAAAGGTTGTTTACTGCGTGGATCCTCATTGCCCGTTCAAATTGCACAAATATGTAAAAAAGAGTAAACGCAGTATGAGTGTTCTACAATAAAATGTACAGCAACAGCCAACATCTGAGAGATGTGATAGGAATACAGTAATTAATAGAATACATTGTGAGGTAAACTATAGTACATAATACAAATTGAGTGCAGCTAGTGCCATACTCACTTTTGGTTTTCTGTTCTTTTCATGGTTGTAAAAAGTTACGTAATTGTTTAAATGATGCGTTTTGTATATCTAGCTCATTGCGTGACAGATGATTTAACAATCTTGGCAAGGTGTGCCTCAACATTTGATTTCCGTATGTAGTTCTGTTAGCCCCCCAGCATAGTATTTTTATTTGTTGAGGCCCGTAACATTGATGAACAAATGTCAGTGTTTATCCAGTTCGAGTACACTGTTTTAAAATAGGCATTCCTGGGCTTTGGTACAGTTAAAGGGATACTTACCGAAATTTGGATTTCGTAAAATAAGGCCACAGAAGCGTTGACCAGGACGCTACAAACTCCAAAACATTGCTCATATATCGATATCTCAAACGGATGGCTGGACTTTTGGAAAAGAAGGGCGCGATCAAGCGAGGGCTTTGACGTCACGATCCTCCGGGAACATTTGAGAATGAGGGGGAGCAGCCTCGCTTCTCTCCTCGTCGCTTCGGTTCACCAGCTCGATGGAACGAAGCGAGGAGGAGAGAGAATGAGAATCCTGACATGACTTCTCTCGTCAGCCTCATCAGCTGTGTTCAGTCGCCACTCTTCTTTTCCAAAAATACGGCGATTTTTTAGAGATATCGCTGTAGGAGTGACGTTTCTGGGTTTTGCAGCTTCCCACCTATCAGTCTAGCCTTGTTTTGTGAGCTCGAAATTTCACTTCAGTATCCCTTTAAGGAACAGTATGCATTATAAAGTCTGTTGCCATTCTGCTCTTTTGTCATGGGGCAAGCGAGAGCATATTAAGGGGAGCTACCTTTTAATTGAATTTGAGACATCCAGCGAAGTCCTCGTGTTATTGCTCGTTAACGCGGCATGCCTTGTTAGGAATGTCTGGAATGTTGGTCCGCTCTCGTCGTATTTTTGTCAAGGACGCTTTCATCGTTGCAGGACGTACGGCTCGACGTTACTTTAAGTCAAAGGCTCGACGTTACTTTAAGTCAAAGGTGGCTGAAAATGACAATGATGCCAGTGAGTAAAAACTGGTTTTGGAGTAATGGTGTTGGCGCGCTGCCCGTCGCGACCTTGTTGCATCCGGGTCGTGCTGTCTCAGGGAGGTGTAAGGCAGGCTGATGCGAGCACCGAGGCAAGGCTTGCACCTGCCTGCTGTCTTGTCTTCTTTGTGTCCTCGTTTGTCTCCTGCACTTTATATATTTAGTAAGCTGGAACTTCCCCTATGTGCAGCTTTAATGGGGCCCTCTTAATGCATGGCCTAAGCGATAACGCAGTTAACTTGGGTCACTTTTTGTTTTAGCACGTAGTAGTTGCGTTCTGACGAAAGCTAAATCATCATTTGTGTTGGTCTGTAGCTCGCACGGTGCGGCACGTGACTCACCGGTGCAAAGTTGCGGTGTCGCACGGGGGTGCGAATAACGTCGCTGGAACGAGTGACTTTGGATGTCGAGTCGTGTAACGTGACAGGCGTCACGTGATGCTGCCACACGGCGTGAGGTCGCATGATACCACGTCGTGTTAGGTGATGCCACGCAATATCAGTTATAGTCGAGGCAAAAATGGCAAGGAGAAGCTTCAGGTTCCCACATCCCGCACAAGCTTCCTACCTTCGACAGTGCTTGGGCGTCTTGTGCACCTGAACAAAGCACAGCAGAAGGCACAGAGCGCGTGCCGGAAAATCTTTGTTTGTCAGGAAGTTACTCGACGTCGTGACTCGATGTGGTAACATCACGAAACACATGACGTCACGTTATTAATCGAAGTACTGTCGAGACCGGTTATAACGAAGTCAACGGAAATAGGAAATCACTTCGCTATATACGCTATTTCGTTATAACCAACTTCGGCTATAACGAAGTGCAAAAGGGAATGGGAAATTGTGATCGCTTCACTGTAGCCGCTATTTCGTTATAACCGACTTCGTTATAACCGGTCTTGACAATAGTCCGACAAAAAAACCTAACGAACAATGAGTGTTCCTCAGACGTTTTAATCCTGCATACGACGGTCGCTGCCTCTCTTTAGATGTCAACTGGTGTAAGCTGTATGGTATGTGCGACGGCAGGGTTGGCTAAAGTTGTAGCACTCTTAGCTCGAGAAGGATTCTCGAGGTCGTCGTCTTTCGCGCGGCGGTAGGAAAGCTAGTCATTGAAATCAATGCAGTTGGGGGAACAGTGCAGTAAGGACGATCCACGAGCCGAAAGAGCGACCTGCGACGCTGTTTCGAGCATGATTTTTGCATGCTCGAAACTACGGCGCAGTTTACGTGCTTGGACTTGGACATGGTCTGCGGGTCGTCTTTTCAGGGTCTCCTTTCATTAAGCGCAATGATTGGATCTTTGCGTGCTGTGTGGGAGAGAGAGATTACGTGCCCAGGCTTTGGTTATGCAAAGTTTGCGCTAAGCCCGAGTAGATAGAGCAGTAGCTTCAATCCCTTCTCTGACGTGTTGATGCGTACTTCGTCTGCATCTTGGCAAAAGCATATAGTCAAAGCTTCCAGAGCTAGTTTCACCACAAAGGTAGACACGCAACGAGACCTTTGCCAAGCTCATGCTTACGCAATTCATAGGCCGTCGAATAGGAAATGACTAGAGCAGACTTCTTTTTACGACACTAGAAGGTATTAAAGATTATAACTCAAAGCTCCCGTTTTTCAACTTTTTTTTCTTTTTATCAGAGTGTGCAAAAGCTTGACATTGTACATGGTACAAAGAAGTTGGCATATAAGCTTGTAACTGCAATTAGTTGTCCTATATATCAATTTTTTCTTACCGTGCGTCTAAAATGGTGATCTTCTGGAAAAAAATTATTTCAAATATGGTGAAGGGATTTTTGTGCTGGTTTGGTTTTGTACGTTGTGCCCTTCGCTGCATAGCGTCCCAAGATCTCGTCTTAAGAGCCTTTGAACTGTTTGACATTCCAGACAGCAGCAGTAGCGACGACGATTCGGATGATGATGATGACGATGACGACGACGACGAGAAGGATACTGAAGACGAAAACGTTGATGGACTAAATTCAGGTAACGGATCCTGTTAACGGATATTTCTTCTTATACAGTAAAACCTTGTTATAACAAAGTTGAAGGAGTGGTCGTAATTATTTCGTTATAACCATTAGTTTGTTATAGCCAATGTCCATTTCTTCCCACTATTAGCAAGCAAGGGGAATTATGATTGCTTTGTTATATCTAGGGTGTGCATTTTCCGGTTTTAACCGGAAAATGCACACCCTAGATTTTCGTCACCAATATCCGTCGGTGACGAAAATATAAAATCGGTTAAAACCGAAAAACACCGGTGGTTGGATATTTTCGCCCTGGTTAAAACCGAAAACACCGGTCGTTGCTAGTTTCCGACCTAGCGAAACCCTTTCCCCGTAGAGGTTCGTCAAACGTGTTATCTAGTGGATCCTGCATTCTTCCAGTGTTTATACATGGCTTGCAGGTAGCGTCAATCCGCCCTCCTTTCTGGGGGTCAAAAGCGTCTAGTGAACGCAGTGGAAGCTAAGCTCTCATACGCCTTTCCCCTATTGTGTCTCCCATGGCCCCCTTTTGTGGAAAAATTAAAACATTGGAGGGTAGGCTCTCACGTGCCTTTTCCTCATTGTGTCTGGCCAAGGGATGTCGGTGAAAGCCATGTGTTCAGAGGTTGCTGTGGTTCCTGGAAGACACTGCCAACGTCCGTGTCGTACAGGAGCGTGCGTTTTCATAATTGCGGGTTGCGAACCGCAAGGAACGTGCTGCCATGACGGAAGCACGTTCCTTGCGTGTAGATGCAAGCATGAAAGTATGCTTGCATCTACTATAATAACCAAGTGTGAGAAATAGTTGCTTCCTAGAGAAGTGTATGAACTATGTGAATAAAACTGGAACTCTCTGCCTGTGATCAATCGCTTTTTTTTACCGATATTCACCGATTTTAGCCTCGTCGTGAGACGTTCCACCGAAATACACCGGTGTTTTGAAAATAAATAAACACCGAAAAACATCCGCCGATTTTTCTCACAAATAAACACCGGAAAGTACACACCCTAGTTATATCCCATTTTGTTATAACGAGGTTTTACTGTATATGTATAGGCGTCTATGCCGCAACTGTCGTGTACATATACTAACCACTACAATTGTGTCTCTTACTGGTCTAGACAGCAGTATTTCATTGTAGGGATGAACCTCAATTTAACCGAGTCATACTTTGAGCCAGAGACTCGACTAAATTTCGCGAGTGTCGTCGAATCTAGGTTTTTTTTTTTTTTACAGCGACAGCCATTAGTGGGAATCTCGCCGGAGATTTGTGTCGTTGCCTCTCGGCGCCTTGAGGGGGCACGCGCAGCCAGAGCATGCGACAAAATGCAAACAGCGCGTTCTGGAGGCCTAGTGTTCAAATGAGACGCCGTTCTCACTTTGACAGTGGCTTTTGCCAAAACCCCATTCTGTCGGCAAATGCACCCAACCATCCGAGCAGACGAACTCGCACGCCGTGCGGCTAGACCTCGGAAGGTTTGTAGAACGCGACAATGCACCGTGGAGGCTCGGAAGGTTGTAGAATGCCACAATGCACCGTGGAGGTCTATTCGTAATAGCGTAAATGCGCTCAAAAGTTTAACGCAGAATGGGTCTTACAAGTCATTTTCTACGAGAAAATTGTCACAAACGAGAGCCATGACGAGCGTCGTGATTTAGTGACACGCTGGTAGCGTTGCTAACGTTAAGGTTATATCTGAAGTTTATAAATACATTTTGAGCGCGGGCATGGCGGGAACCAGAGTCGGTGCAGTGGCAGTCGGATACAGTCAAATGCTTTTATAGCGAAGTTCGCGGGACCAGCCAAATGTCTTGTAGTACAGGTAACCTTGTTGAGTAGTTGAGCTGGGATTTTGGCATCACCGGTAGTTGCAGATCGAGTTTCTTCGACCACACGTTATTGCTCCGAGGCGGAACAGTTCGGGACTCGGATTGAGCAAGATTGGGAATCTTGGATCCCGACTAAGATTGGCGCATCGGACAAACAAATTCCGAAATGGCTTAAAAAAAAGTTGCAACTACCCATAAAAATACTTTTCTTCGTTTTTATATACAGTCGCCAACCGATTATTTTTGGACAAGTCCGATTATTTGGACATTTTGGCCGAACCGTCACTTACCTCATAGAGTTAATGTGTAACATTGACCGAAATTTCGGACACCATAAGGCTCGTTGCTCGATATATCTGACATAATTTGCGTAATTTGCTCAGTTTACAGCCACAAAAAAGCTGCCACGATAGCGCCGCAAGCTTAGTCGCCGCCATTTTGGTTGTTTTGATTTTGCCCTGTAGCCTCGATACCACATACTACGCAATGAACAAGTCGGGTTTTCCGGTTCCGCTATAGCCAGCATGGCCGCCGCCTGCCCATTCTTATGGCTCTTCCAGTTCTTCTTGTGGTCCGTGTTTTTTGAGTGCGACCGCGAGAAGAGCGGCCGTCTGCTGTTGTTGTGGTCTTTGAGCGCAAAGCTTTTTTTGCCGACCGGCTTAATATTGAAGTGAGCTTGGTGGACTAAACATTGTCTCCATTTAGTGCCAAATGGTGCCAGCTTCAACTTCGCTGTTTGTGCTAACGAAGGCGCCGACAAAGCGCAGCAAACAGATAAACAAACAAGTGAAAAGTGAACAATAGGTGGGAAGTGGCCAGTATGCAGCGGAATATGCGCGGAAATTTGATATTTTGGCTGGAATTGATTTTTCGGACCGCTCGATTATTCGGACAATTTTGGAGTTCTCTCCGAGTCCGAAAAATCGGTCGGCGACTGTACTCTCGTTTGCTCTGGTCCTTCGAAATGCGCCAACGTATGTGCAAAGAGGGGAAACGAGTGCGTGCACTGCCCAAACGGAGCATTGAAGAAAAAAAAAAAATCATCTTGGACCGGAGCGGTGGATACTCCATCAACGCCGTGAGCAAAACGAAAGCAAACAAAAGCGGCGCATTCTCGGTTTAGGGGCAGCAACAGTGGGAGAAATTTGGGAGCTCAGGGAATTTCAGAGGGTACTCTGGGGAACTCCTGGGGAACCTCTGGGCTCCTAGGAACAACCTTGTTTGAGGACCCTCAGTGTGTGTAGTGCCGCAAATCCTGGAGGATGTTGACAGAGCCTGCTTCATTAGGCGCAGTCTGCGAACCAGCGTGTAAGGCACTCCTGATTCTGCGCTTAAAAATTCAGGTAGCGCGGTTCTTTGAGCCCAAATTTGTTTTTTGTCTCAGAATTCAGGGCCTGACAAGGCCCGAAAATGTCAAGCTAGAACCAAAGTTGACCTTCTTTGGTTAGAGTCTTCATATCTTGGCCCCAATATAATAATAATATAATAATAATAATTTTTATTTTTGCATCCGTATGGGTTACAGACGCCGGAGCCACGGACAAAAAGTCAACAAATGTTGACTTGACGGGGTCCGGGCCCCGTGCACTTGGCAGACAGTTATGGCGATACAAAAATAACTGCAGAGATTACAGCAATACGTAAAATACATATATAAAAGAGACCTAGGTTTCACAGGTTAACGAAAACAGCTCTATACAAAAAGTAAGTACAATGACTTAGGGTTTATATTGTAGATGTCCACGTCATCTACGCAATATTTGTTTAGCAATGAGGGTAGATTATGTTTTAAAGACTGGTAACTGTAGTTCGTGCGAAACGGAAACACTTTCCATTCCTCGGAGTAGCGGGTGCAAATGGTGGGTATGTTTTTGATTAATCCCGATGTCTGTTTCAGAAAATTAATAGATTCAGGGGAAGAAAAAAGAAATGATCGAGTCAAAAGGTACTCATAAAAACGATGTATATTTATAATTTTGTATCGTGAAAATAGAGCCTCTGTGTGGGCTAAGAAATGAACGTTTCCAACAAAGCGCAAAACTTTTTTTTGTAGTAATAATATTCTGTTCAGATTTGTCCTTGTGGTCGTGCCCCAAACGAGACAGCAAATATGCCAAACAGGTGCCAAAGTTTGGCTTCGCTGCCGGTTCTTTGGTTCATACGTGGCATCTTTGGCTAAGGTCTGGCACTTTGGCAATTATGTGGCAGGCCAGGGAAAATCCCCCGAAACACCAAATAAAAGTAGGTACTCTGGGGTGTTTCCCTGTCAGATCGTGCAATGAGGGTCCGGGTCACATTTTTTATATTTGTGTAAAAGATAAATGTTAAAGCCACATTCTTGGGAGGAGCAATCAGCTGTATGCAAACGCTGTAGCTAATTTTCTTCCGGATATATACACTTTCGAAGCTTGAGGTATGGAGTTCGCTAAGGTTTCACTATGGTGCTTTGTACAGCCGTCAATTTCATGCCGAAGCATGCACATAGTAATAATTTTCTCAATTCATTTTATGAAAGGTTTACAACATGTGCGCAAAGTATAGAAAATTACAATAAAATATTTCTATGGAAAAAAAAATTAAACAGTTGAAATAACAGGATTAGAGACACATTCACAAATTATTTACCAACAAACTATGTACTTCGTGTAAAATGACACAAAACATATAAAAATTGTCATCTTTAAATGCATTTTACTATTATATATATTAGCCATTATTGTTTTGTTATTAATGCAGAAATGCAGCTCATTTCTCTAAATGTGGCAAAATTGCACATCAGTAATTAGAAGACTTCACTTTTTTATTTTGTTTAAACTCTCCTTAACCGTGTGCAGTGATCTGAATTGACTTGTGATGGCAAAATATTGAGTAACGTAACTTTATTTTTTTTTGCACACCGAAAGTTAGCTTTCTCCTAATTTCCCCCCGATTTGCTTTCAGTTAAGTGGGCTATCGCTGGGGATTTTACAATACTACCGTAGATATTGCGGAAGTGCCTACTTTGTTCATGTGCTCGTTAACATCTCCCAAACTTGTGAATTCTGCAAATTATACGTTGAGCACCCGATTTGATCGGACAAGCGTCCATGTCTAGATTAACCCAGTTTTCAGCGGAAATGGGGTAGGCGCTCCTCCGGTATTTTATGGTACGTGCACGCTTCGGCGCAAAATTGACGACCGCGCAAAACACCGTAGCAAAACCTTGGCAATCTTGACGCCTAGAGCTTTGAAATTTTATACCTTTGGAAGGAAATCGGCTACGGCGTTCGCATATAGCCAAACGCTGCTTTCAGGAACGTGGCTTTAGTGTACATTTCTTACACAGATATAAAAAATGCGGCCCAGACCATCGTTGCACGATCCGACATTAAAGCACCCTCTGGCACTCGCCGACGCCTCGGAGCAAAAGCGTGTTAGTCCTCTGGGATTGCGGAGCTCTCTCCGGCTCGATAGCCGGGAAGGCTGCCCCGAGCCTTTAGCGAGAGTCGTCCCTCGCTGCAGCGGCCAAGAATGCGGAGGCCGTCGCGCAACCGGGCATTGCGGACATGGTGGGCGCGGCGTCCCCGCTGAGCGAAGACGAGGACGAGTCGCTGCAGCTGCCCCCGTACCTGCCAGCCATCCAGGGCTGCAGGAGCGTCGAGGAGTTCCACTGCCTCAACCGCATCGAGGAAGGCACGTACGGCGTCGTCTACAGGGCCAGGGACAAGCAGACCGGTGAGAGCCAGTTTGGCCATCCCTGCCCAAAACTGCCCGACTTTCCAGGGAGGTACAACAGGTGGTACCGGTGGACCTGCCATATTTACTCGCAATTAGAACACACTTTGTTTTGCCGGAAAATTGACACATATTTTCATTTTCATTTTCATTTATTAATCCTTAAGGGTCCTCTTTCAAGGGCATTACATAAGGAGGGGGCAACACAAGAAATTATACAAGAAATGAAAAACAACAACATAAAAATACATAGCAACACACACTCGCACAGCGTAGCTAGAAAAACCTAATTTTGTGTGGAAAAATACAACATGATGGAGCCTTTGAAAACCACAGGCTCAGTTATTGTAATGAGCGATTCTGGAACATTGTTCCAGTCCACAATTGTGAGTAGGAGAAATGAGTTGTTAAAGGCATTACTGGAACCCGATATACGTGGAAAATTGTTGGAGTTATTGAGGCGACGAGACGACCGTGCGGGAGTGCGCAGGAATGAGCTTCGAACAGTGGAATGATAGTGGTAAAGTTTATGGAGTAAGCAAAGACGGGGTGCAACCTTGCGGCGTACCTCCAGAGTTGATAAATTTAGGCCCGTTTTCATAGCAGAGACACTGTTTTTATAGTCATAGTTTGATAAAATGTAGCGGGTTGCTGGTTTTGAATTTCTTCAAGTTGGCTGATCAATTATTTTTGGTGGGGATTCGATTGTAGAAGCACATCCCAATTTCGGTCGAATGAAGGTTTCATATGCAAGTTTCCTAAGCTTTGGAGGAGCAGCATTCACGCAACGCCGGATGTAGCCAAGGGTCCTTGCTGCGTCCGAAGAAATTGTGTTAATGTGATTAATCCATGTCATATCGGAAGTTAGTATGACATTGAGATATTTATACCTATTGACTTCTTCAATGATCTCGTCGCCCCCCAGCACATACTGGAAGGAGGAAGGAACTCTTTTACGATGAAAGTGGATTAATTTGCATTTAGATTTATTTAGTGGCATCAACCAATTGTTACACCACTGAGAGACATTATCTAGATCCTTTTGAATGAGTTTGCGGTACATTAGGTGAAGTGATCTCACGATATAGAACACAGTCGTCTGCAAAAATATGTATGTGAGAAGAAATAGAATTCAGAAGGTCATTAATAAATATTAGAAAAAGAAGACGCCCAAGGACTGTGCCCTGGGGCACGCCAGACGTAACATTAATTAAATCAGATTAGAACCCATTTAAGACTGTGTACTGCATTCGCGAGTCAAAAAAATTACGTATCCATATTAAGACTTGGGGGGTCTAGGGTGCTTTTGGCATGCCTTTTGCCAAAGGAAAAGCGCTTTACGATGCTCACTCAGTACGACGACCGACGCGACCGTTCTCAGGCCTAACCGCTAAAAAAAAGTCAAATTTAGGGGTTTTACGTGCCAAACCAACGACGGGCATCTGGCACGCCCCAGCGGAGGACTGAGGTTTAATTTGGACCACCTGGGGATCTTTTGACGTGCAGCCGAAAGCTCGGTTACACGGCGCCTTCTCCGCAATAAGCCTCCGTCAGATTGCGGCACCTCGGCCGGGATTCGAACCCGCCACATGGGGATCCGTAGGCCGGAGCTCTCGCCTCGGAGGCACCGAGGCGGCTAGGCCTAACCACTTTCACGGTTTCACTTTCCGAAAGCAGACCACAGACGACGGCGTGTTTGTTGACATTAATGCATCCGGTAGGTGAAGAATGTCTGGAGCTGGGCAGTTCCTCGACCCAAGCTTCATCAAGTGTGTGCGCCGCTCGGTTTCACGGTTGATCACTTCCGCAACTACGCACTTGCATCCATTACGAGAGTGGCTTGGCTTGGCTTGGCCTGACCGCTTGGCGGCAAAAGAAAATTGGCTTGGTGGATAGCTAAATTGGACACAATTCGAGACTCGCGGAGCTGAAAATTGAGGGTGCGTTCACTATGCGAGAGAAAAAAAAGGTCCAAATATTGGTACTCGTTCTGGGAGGTGCGTTCATTATGCGATATGGCGCACCATGAATTCACGAGGGCGCCCATCAAACCACTCGGCCAATCTTGGCCGCGACACGATCACATCTCGAATTCGGTTCCCGACGCGCCGCTTTCTCTCCTAGCCACTGGAGGGCGCTGCAGGCGCCCCCGTGACAGGCGAGGAGAAACCTCCTCGCCCATCGAGAGAGATATACTCGGTGGGGCAGGGGGCGAGAGGCCTCTTAGAACTCCGGACGAGACCGAGACGCAGGCAGGCAAGTGGGTGGCGACCGGATCTAGGATATCACGGGACGCGAGGCCTAAGGCCTTCTTTGTGTTTAGCTTTAGCCTGAACGTGCATTTGTAAATAATTGTGTAATGTAGCTTGTATTTGTAGTTTAGATTGAGTGTTTTGTAGTGTTGTGTTTTATTGTACCAATAAACTGGGAGCGGAGTCCCACTCCCGTGAAAGAACCAGGCTGGACTCGGGTTGTTGACGGACCACGTGGGAAACGGCGAATCGGCGGCGGTACGCGAATTCCTACAGCGAGTAAATGCGGTATTTATTTTTAGGGGCGAAGCTTCTTAGGGTCTAGGCTTGTCCGTCCATCCGTCCAAATGACGTCCGTGCTCAGATAAAAAGAAAAAATGTTTGCGCAGTCAACAGGATTCGAACCTGTGCGGGGAGACCCCAATGGATTTCTAGTCCATTGCCTTAACCACTCGGCCACGACTGCGGGACGAGTAGGGGGCTCAGAGATGTGGTAGTAACTCAAGAGCTGGGGTTTCTGTCATGGATGAAACGTTGCATGTAGCCGCTCAACATCTATACAGGAGAGGGTGCTGCGGTCAAATGCGTAAATAATCGCGTTAAACTTTGCATGCATTGGCTCAACGTTTGTAGACGAAAGGGCGCTGCGGTCAAATGCTCAACTGCGTATATAACCACGATCCATACCACACATTCTATTTCCGACATGGACCGTTGACTTAATTGGTGGAGATGCGTTCCCACGGCTTCTAGCGGATCCAAGCTGATCCGCTAGAGGAACCACTGGCTCTGCATTTCACCGACCATAAAGTGGTAATAATGAAGTCGAAACGCAACCCGGAACTCAGCACTACCTATGAGCAATAAAAAAAACATAAGCACCATCAGCACTACCTATGAACAATAAAATCAGTATCATCAGCACCACCAAATCTTCGCCCCAATCAACATCATTCACCACGTGGAGATGCGTCCATTTTTTTCTTTCAACATTATGCATTGCTTTGCCCGTGTTTTCTTTTTTTTGCCTTTATTTATTTTATTTTTTTTGCTGCTGGAATTTAGTGAGGTTTCTTTTTTTGTTGCTTGCTTAACTTTATTCTATGGATCGAGAGATTTCTTTTATGGTCTGGCTTTTCCGTTTTTTTTAATTTTTTATTTTTTATTTTTGTGTTTTGCTGCCTATGCTGTGTGAATGTTCTGGCCAGATGCGCATGTAAGCCCGCCAGTATTTGCGGTCTCCGCCAACTACACTCTACTGCAACAAGGCATGTAGTAGTTGGACTAGTTCGTAATACATACTTTTTGGGGGGAACAGCACGAAAAAACATAAGACCAGGATGAAGAAACACACAGACAGCGCCCTGTCTGTGTGTTTCTTCGTCCTGGTCCTACGTTTCGTTGCGCTGTTCCCACCAAACACTACGGTCTACTGTATTTAGCGGCTCTTAGATGTTCTATTTGATAAGCTCCCGTTTGTCACGACCTTCAGTATTAGCAGAGACGCCAGGAAATTTCAACTCGAGCTTAATTCAACATATTTTTGTATATCAAATTATTGATATATCGGACTATTTTACAATCCCCTTTGAATTCAATATATCCTGGTTCGACTGTATGTCACTAGGCTAGTGCTTAGCTCACCTGTGGCATCTGCTTGTGAACTGGAGCACCCAGCTGCATCTGTTGGAGCACTGGGGTAGACAGAAGCTTCAAATGTGATCGAAAAGGGCTAATCCTGTTAACGCTGTGCTCAAGAGAGAGTGTACATACTGTAGGTCTTGCATTGCAGAGACGGCTTTTATTTTGTGTGTTTTAGACAGCTTTTATTGTTTCTCTTTTTCTCAGATGAAATTGTGGCTCTGAAGAGACTCAAGATGGAGAAGGAGAAGGAAGGCTTCCCCATCACCTCCCTGCGGGAAATCAACACCCTTCTGAAAGCGCAGCACCCGAACATTGTCACCGTCCGGGTAAGCCTTTGCCATTTGCTGCAACTGTGGCAAAGAGATCTGACCTGCATTTTACTGCGATGGCTGTTGTGGGCTCCTCCCGCCACTAGAAATGACGTTTGTTGTCGTTGTAGTTGTCATAGTAGGGCGTCCGTCGTCGACATTGCCAAGTGCTGTTTTTAGCTGATGCAGTGTCCCTGAATTGCAACGTATATCATTCTTCTGACTTTGTGTGTAGATTTATAATAATAATAATAATAATAATAATAATAATAATAATAATAATAATAATAATAATAATAATAATAATAATAATGATGATATCTTTATTTGGCTCTGGAGGGCCGCAGCACCGCGAAAAGGCAACAGCCCAAACCAAGGAGGCTCGCGGTGTCGCGTCTGATAAACATGATACAGTAATCCGTCGCTATGACGAAGTCGCTTTTTCGAATTATTACTTTTATTGAGGTTTAACATGGTCCCGACCAAAATGCGCACATTTTGAACCAGTTTATTTCAAGTGTATTAGCAACTAACTACCGTGATATCTTGAGTCTGAATTTTTGTTTTGTTTTTTCCGCCGAATTATTGCCCACTCCGAACACCCCAACGCGGACTCCGTGATCCGCGAACATTCATTTTACCTGAATAACGCGGCTGCAGACCTTACGTTTGGAGGACGTCTGTGACGAAGTAAAACGAAGGAGAGAAAAACTCTTCTCTTGTTTTACGCATTTCCTCCCTGATTTATGGGACCCCGAAGTCATACTACATGCGTGGAGAGAAAAACAATAGAGATAACAAAATAAAATTTTGCTTACAAAAAAATTTGTTCGGAGAAAAAAAAAATTGTAAAGCCCTTCCACTTTACGTGGAGATGGAAGACCAGCAAAGCTGTTATTTTTGCGATGTCTAGGACGATGCCTAGAGGATGTCTTCTAGGATGACCTCGAGTACAATGCCTAGAGAGGGTAACAAGGGATCAGGACCTCACTATCTAATAATGCCAAGGAAGGCTGACTCACGCTGGTTGCCGCCTTTTTTATTTTTATTTATTCATACTTGCCACGACCAATGGGGAGTTTTCTGTCAACATTCACGGACACATTTTTTCCCTGATCCTAGCGTGTAAGAGCTTTGCTGTAAAAAAAAGAGTAGGAAAGACAACACGAGCAGTAACCCATTCAGGGATCGCGAGGTCAGCGAATGCCCCATATCCTAGGGAATGTAACTGCGGAGTGTAAGGTCAAAGCTCATCTCCACCAAAGTAAGGTCACCGCGAACCCGCTCCTTCTTCTGGAACATCGCGACCGCGGTTAGTAAGGTTGTGCAGTGTTTAAGACAATGCCAACAGGTAAATAAAGATTTGCTGGAATGCCGCACACAGACGTTTGTAGAGCGTCCCATTTCGAGCTCCGTGTTCGTGGTGCAGTCCGCGCCACGCAGCAACGCTGCCTCAACCTGCGCTCATAGCATACTACGCAGGGACGCAAGTTGCACAAGAGCCTCCTTTTTGCGATTGACGAGGCACCCAACTTAACCCGACGCCAAAGTATTTGCCAATGCGATTGCCGGCTTTCCCGCTTCCCCAGCATCCCTTTTCGTCGCTTCTTTCATCTGCTCGCTTGCTTGTTGCACCTGGTTGGTTTTTTTATTTTCTTATAGAATTTTTTTTTTCTTTGGCAAAGAGAACATAGCGGTGTTAGAAACGTGTTTTGGCCGAACCAACGTTCATACTCTATGCCGATCCGATCGGCGGTGTTCATTGCGCGTATGCAAGCGGCGGACTTTGCATTCTTTCATGAGCATTCTTTGCATTCTTTCATGATCAAACATTCTTTCATGAGCATTTCTTGCGTAAAACAATGAAACTATAATTTCAGTTTTGAGTTGAATGTATCTTTGGCGCAGCGGCGCTAGTGACGTACAGAAAAATGGGCGTTTATTACCTTTTTTTCTAAACTTTTTGTTCTTACCCACCAAGACATGGCCCACCCCACTCTTTTTATTATTTCAGGCGGTAGGGGGGTGGGCAACGACTCGAGATATTACGGCACGCGTATTACAAAGGCCGAGGTGCCGAAAGCTCGCGAGCCTACACGCAGGTGAATGGACACCCTTGCATTCCCTCCCCGGCGTACTTCCCATTGCAAAACTTGGCTCTCGCGAATACATCTTTTAGAAAGTGTAAATGCACGACCACGCTAGCAAAGGTGCGGCTTCCGGATGGTGCGTGGAACGTACCGATGGTTCGGGAAACCTCAAGTACCTTCGATAGACTCGAGCGCAATCTCAAGCAAGTCGAAAGAGTGCACATTCTTAAGTGGCGTCGCGTGACTACCGTGCCGCTGCGGCAAAACGGGGACAGTGTGGCCCGCTTGCTCGAGATGCCGCAATAAGATGCTTTCCGCCAGTGTGGCCTTGCCTTAATTCTTTAGAGTGTACTCGGTGTTAAGCTCATGAGCGTATCCACCTTTCCTGCATAACTTTCTTCCACTGGTTCATAACATGTTTTACCATACCTCTTTTTTTTTTATATTCTCGCAGATGTATTCTTGAGGTTATTCCTACAAAATAAGATGGTTTCCAACATTTTGCATGTGTAGGATCCTCTGGTCTTTGCCCCTCTTTCTTTCAGTTAATCTTTCATTTTGTTGAAGTTAGTTCAGCCCAACCCTGTTCATTTTCACTGTTCTCCATGTAATTCTGGATATTACGAAGGTATTAGGATTATTTGGTCCAACAACAATGGGAGAAGTAAAGTAGAGGTAGCAATCGCAACTGCCACCTAAAGTCTGTGCCTGCGCACGCCCCCCTCATCATCTTAATTTTTTCTTCCTATCAAGGTGTTTTGCAGCTATTTAATATCGGTGCCATTCCTTCTATGCTCGGCATCAACGTTTTTGTGCCGCACTGTCAAGGCCAGCGTAGCTTCTGCCGTGCCGTCGATGCTACTTGCACGAGTGCATGTCAATAAGTTGTAATGCAAAGCCACGCGCTCACGCAGCAAGCTGTGCGGGGCTGCAACATGGTGAAAGCCAGGCTGTCTTTGGCAATGTAGCACTTAAAGATTGCCTGCCTTAGACATTTTATCGAATGCAATGAAGATGGAATAGCACTTAATGGTTTCACGTCACTGTGCACCATCACGTGGCACCATGGCATCTCATGCAACTATGATGTCACGGGATGCCGGTGACACCGTGACGTTATCCGACGCTGTGTGGTGAGACCAACGCGAGCAAGATGTGTCCTAGGACGGTTCCCATGTAAAGCTGTTGTTTTAAAATCTAATGCCGAATATGGAGAAACACACTCGTGCCAGGCGTGCTTCCCACGTCTCTTTCGCTAACCCGTCCATGTAGCGTCTGTGATGTCGCCCGTGTGTGTCCTTGTACAGGAGATAGTGGTGGGCAGCAACATGGACAAGATCTACATTGTGATGGACTACGTGGAGCACGACCTGAAGAGCCTGATGGAGGTGATGAAGCAGCCCTTCCTGGTGGGCGAGGTGAAGACGCTGATGCTACAGCTGCTCAAGGCCGTGGCCCACCTGCACGACAACTGGATCCTGCACAGGGACCTCAAGACCTCCAACCTCCTGCTCAGCCACAAGGGCATCCTCAAGGTACCTTCGTTGCTCGAGGCAGACCCTGTTCGTTTGGGATGGATGGGCCTTTGGTACCCTCCACAGTGCCGAAAGGAATTCTGGGAACTAGCTGTATAAAACCGGCTGGTTGGTCTATAGGTAGCAGGCATTGTTTGGATTCTTTGATCCTGGAAGCTCTAAATGTCTGGATTAGCCCTGTTGCTTCCTGAAAACTCCAAGAATTTAGCTTGTGTTGCTGTTGTTTTATTTTTTAAGGAAAACATGCTTTGTCTTATCAGGGGAGGGGGCGGGGGTCTAGAAATTTGTGAAGCCGCCTATTAATTCGATGCTGGTTGGCCGAGTTAGGTGATGACGTCATACCCCCTAACTCGACCTTGATTAACTGGTTCAGGTATGACGTCATGCGCGAGGCCGCGCTCACTCGACGCTGATTGGCTGGTGATTGTGCAATCACTCACGCGCCACTGCTCGCTCGCCAGACAGTGCTTGTATGTCATCAGAGAAACACCTGCGGCCACGGAGGGTTCTGGAAGAGCACCAGGGGCTTAAAACCTGGGTTAACGCTGGTATTTCCATTGCAGGAATTGCTATTGAGTGTACATGCCACGCATTAAGCCAGTCGCTAAACTAACCAATAAAGAGTGCCGAGAAGATAGACGTCAATCCCAGAGGAATCTGACTGAAACAACATGTTTCACGTGCAACACAATCGCCCACCAATTCGCTACACATTTTCTAAGTTCGTTAGACTCTGTGAAGAGTTTCTGAGGATGGCTGTGCCACCAGCTAGTGTGCAACCAAAGGAACCAACCTTATTAAGCTTGGTATTATGTGAGGATTCTAGCACCTTGATTGCTGTACTAAGTTTGGTTAGTTCATGTTTCATCTGCAGTCTGTACAAACTCTTGAGCCTAAGCTGTTAGCCCTTGAATGAGGTCTAGTTGCACATGCTGGGTCAGTGTGAGCACCTTAGGAAAGTATAAGCTCATGTTACACTTGCACCAAATGTTGATGGCCTAGCATGGGCACGCCATGGTGCAGAGCACAATGATGTTTGTTTCTTGCACAGACAATGTAGTTTATTCTATTCCTCTTTCATGTGGCAAGCAATATACAGGGCCTGGGACTTGCTTGAATGAACAATTAAAGGGCCCCTAAATAGAAAAAAAAATTTTTTTTAGACAATCTAATTGCGACGCACATGCAAAAAAATCTATATATACATGAAAAAAAAAATTTTTTTATGGCAATGTTGACGGCGAGAGATTTATTTTAAATTCTGTGCGCAAAGTCCATGACGTCACGGGATGGTCATTCGCTCTTTCCACCTCAACGTGAAGGTGAAGCCGATCCACCTCTCCTCCACTCACCTGACGTGCCGAGAGAGAAAACAGGTGGAAAGGAGGTGATTACCGACGAAATTGCGTTTCGTGCTATCAATATTGCTCTAAATTTTTATTTTTTTTATTTTTTATTTTTAGAGGTTTCTTAAGAGAACATACTATAATACCCACAAAGTGACATCCAGACATTTATGTTTACATTGTCGCGATCGCAAGTGTGAAGCTGACTTTACACGGTGTTCTGTTGTAGGTAGAAGTCAGAAGCTTACGAGAGAGATTAATGATGCGGAAAGGATTGCACGGCTTAAAGATGCATGTGTCAGTGCCCCATCCTTGACGGTATCAAACAAAGAGCTAGGATTTTCAGCACATGGAGAGATGAGATGCCGGTGAGGTACAGAAAATATTCTCGCGTCTCTCGCGAAGGTGGAAAAAACTAAGCAGTTTTGCAATCCTCGTTCTTCATGCAGGACCCCAAAATACAAATGAGTTGTAAGTTGTCACTGTGTGTCTCTCGGGTGTGTGTCCTGCGTGTTTGTGTTGTTGTCTTTGCGCCGTTGTTATTATGATGCTTTACCAACTCGCCCAAGCTGCCATCCTGTGAAATACATGTCCACATTAAGGTTCAAATTTAGGGCGGCTCGTTTGCTCTTGCAGGTGGGCGATTTCGGTCTTGCGAGGGAGTATGGGTCACCCCTGAAGCACTACACGCCCATCGTCGTGACCATGTGGTACCGTGCCCCTGAACTGCTTCTAGGGGTCAAGGTGGGTGGTACTATTTCCAAAGCTGCCGGGTCATCCTCCTGCAGACCCAATGCATCTTCTCATCCTTGTCCGTACGCACGCAGGAGTACTCGACTCCGATCGACATGTGGTCCGTGGGATGCATCTTTGGGGAACTGCTCACAATGAAGCCCCTGTTCCCGGGGAAGTCAGATATCGACCAGTTGAACCGTATATTCAAGGTGAGTGTTGCAGTTTGGTACCACCTATGTCTGTTGCGTTGCAGAAAGAAAAGGAAAGAACTTAATACTATGTACAATGTCTAGCTTGTGACATTGCTGCCGAAACAAAGGCAAAAATTGGCATCTGTATTTTGATCCATCATGTCACGTGGCACAGTCTCGCGCGACATAGTGCCTCTGTGTCAGTGCAGATCTTCGTTAAAGATGCACATACCGTATTTACCCGAAAATAGGTCGACCACGAAAATAGGTCGACCCCTATTTATTGAGCCCACCGAAAATAAAAAAAAATAATTCAAATATAGGTCGACCTTTCTTTTTTTTTTTTTTAAGGAACAGGGGAAAGTTAGGGCAAAAGAAACAAACCTTTATTTACAGCACTCTCAGCTAAATCACAGGGCGATGTCAAAAAAGCTTCGTCAGCTTGGTAGACATCCTCGCAAATCGGCAACAGTACCTTACTGACACCGTTGTAAAATGGATGACGACAAGAAGAAACGAAAGAAGGTGGAGACGGGCGAGCGACGAAAGATCGACACGAGCAACTCCGCGAGCCCCGTGAGTAACACGCGACCCGCCGAAAAAAACAAACTAAAATAACTCCGTTTTTTTTTTTGTTTGTTTGTTTTTGTTTGCGCGTTTGCGAGGGAGAGAGGAATGGAGCGCATAGGAGGGCAAAGTGCATGGCGCATCGCGTTCCTCTCCCTCCCCTTCCCCCTTGCCCAGCGAGGGGAACGCTACAGGCGTGATGGCGAAACTCGACGCCCGAGGAATGTACGCGAGAGCCGTAGCGGACGCGGGCTGTCGGCTGCTGCTGTTCGGTTGTTTTTGTGCATCAAAAGCTTTTTGAAACAAGAAGCCGCGCGGCTCTACCGCGACGCCGGCTAGGTGATTGATAGCTCCATACCCACGGTAGGGTTTCAAATTTTGGTTGCGAATTAGGTCGATATTCTTTGGTCACGATTATAGGTCGACCCTTAATTTTTGACATTTCCGGAAAAAAAAGGTCGACCTATATTCGAATAAATACGGTACCTCATGCACATACCTGTTTCTGTTTCTTCTCATGAACATACCTGTTCATGCACATAATTGTTCTTCTCCCAGGACTTGGGCACGCCAAGCGAAAAGATCTGGCCGGGCTACACGGAGCTTCCGCTGGTGAAGAAGGTGACCTTTACGGAGTACCCCTACAACAACCTAAGGAGCAGGTTTGGCCACACCCTCTCCAACCTCGGCTTCGACCTGCTCAACAAGTGAGTTTGTCGTTTGTGGTGCCTGTGTCGTTGTGGCAGCTCGCAGGCATAGTAAGCATTAACACTTGGTATGTGAGGAAAGGCTAAGAATGTCAGTTTATTGTATGGTGTTTAATGAATGTGCTTAATGAGAAACACTGCTCTTCGAGTAAAAAAAAGGAACCTTTTTGAAATTGTGTTTTTGAAGATTGACAGCCATTTACCATCTTGTTCTGAAGCTCTTTTGTGAAATAAGTCTTTTTTATATTTAAACATTGACTTGAAAACATAAAAGTAAAATGGGTCTGTGCATGTTTTGTTTTTTTTTGCTATTACTTCATTTCGACGTATTTACACACTGGGCTATTTTATGGACATCATATTGAAAATTTCAGACATCCAGTCTTCATTTTTTTTTCTTTCTCAGATGTGTGTGTGCAAGGTATCCACAAGATAATAAATATCTTTGATATGGTATCAGGTTTTTTTAGATACCTTTTATACTTCCTGCAATCAATAATTTTAGAGCTAGAAAATAAAAAGCTTTATAAAACTTTCAGCCTTTCCATTCTGGTGAAGAAGGAAGACCAGCGAAGCTGTACGCTCGTCCCTTGTGTTTCTTCTTCGTCCTCGTCTGTTTTTCGCGCTGTTTCCTGCAATGAATTCCCACCAGCTCGCCCAACTATTCATTCTTCTATGATAGCTGGAAAGGTTGCTGCCACCTATGAGCGACGGCGGCAACCAGACTGCTTGTCTGGTTGGCGCCGTCGCTCATAGATAATGGTAGCTGTCCACAGTTTTGCGTAGTTTTGTGTCGATATTGGTTTTGTACCGGACACGAAACTGGGGAAACTAGCCCTTAACAGCTCTGCTGTAAAAAGAAGAAACTTAAAAATCATCTCAAAGCTTTTATTTACACTACGTTGGATTCCACGGACCTTTCAGTTAACGAGATAAGTTCATTTTCTGATTTCGGGATTTCAACTTGACTTAATCCTTTCCATAATCTTTGCAAATCAACCTCGCAATATTAACGACAGTAAGTGAGCAAGCTCAAAACTAAGCACGTATTGGTAGTTCAATTGTAGGGGCCGACAAGCTACATATATTTCATTATAATTGGATCACAAGTTGCGTAAAAAAGCTCTAGAAGCGGTGTTGCCCCTTAAGGGCAGGCATCCCCAAAGGACGTGTTGTGGAACGCCATGAAAAGCTATCACGAAATGTGTGACACAGATTTCACGGGAAACAAAAGAATCCATTAAATAGAAACGTTGGTATTTAAATTAAGAAATAAGAGATTTCTCAACGTCCCCCAACAAGAATCGCACCCAGGACCACAAGAGGCTCGTGAAGCGGTAGTTCCTTCGCTATGCCAAGGGCGAGAAGTTTGTGGTTACCTATGTGTTGACGTCGTACGACCGCATCACGTGATTTGACGTCACGAAAGAGATTAAAAAGAGCCCAGGGAAAGTGGGGTTTTGAGTGAAACCAACATGTTTCGTGCACGATGACTTTATCATCCTTGGCACTGTGGAAGAACATCAGGCTGAGAATCTTGGGGTCCCGTGTTCTATTCTTGTTAGGGGATGTTCAGAATTTCTTTCTTTTCTGTCGGCTATGCGCTCTATTGTATATTTTTTACCCGAAATCCGCGTCACACTTTCTTCGAGGATTCCACCCCTCAGACAGACTCTGCGTTGAAAAGCTTGGAGACAAACTGCCAGCTTTGCAATCGCACGTGCGACGCGCGCGTGGTCGCACGTCACTTTGTTGGACGAGTTAGCGAAACCGGGTGCCGTCGCAGGTTCCTGACGTACTACCCGAGCCGCCGCAGCAGCGCGGAAGAGGCCCTGCGGCACGAGTTCTTCCAGGAGACCCCCGTTCCCGTGGACCCCTCCATGTTCCCCACCTGGCCTGCCAAGAGCGAGCTGGGCCACCGCAAGGCCCCGAGCCCCAAGCCGCCCTCGGGGGGAAAGCAGTTCGCCAAGCAGCTGGTGAGTGGCAAGGACCGGCTCAGGTCGACCATCGGCCGTCGATTCATTTTGGCGGTTTTGATTGGGTTTCTGTGTTTTCGGGGTTTGTTTTGTTTCACATGCGGAGGCATTTTCTTGGGGGTTTCTTTTTTAGCGGGGGTTTGGGTGCTTGTTGGCATCTATTTCAAGTGTCGGACAAAACAAATTTGTACTTATCGGTACTTCCGTTGAAGAAAGGAAATGGCTACGGGGTTCCATGGCCCCTAAAATAAATATGCGCGACCCGAATGCTCGGTAAAAGGACCGATGTCAACGGGAGAAGGAAAGGAGACGAAAGTTCCCGAAAAACAAAGCACAGACAATTCTAGTAAGGTACGTTGCTGGGCTAGTTGGTTCATGTTAGTTAAACGTATAAAATTATGCAAAAAAGAAAGGGATGCGATGCCTTTGTCTTGCTTACTTCGTGTCCCCATCTTTTTGTTTAACGCGGACAGTTCGGTGGGGACCGTGCTCTGGGTGGACAAAAATAGTTGAGTAGGTGACGGGTCCTCAAACTGTGTTCCCAGAAGGGAAGAGCAGCCTCGTGGGTTGCCTGAGCTCAAAAAGTTTATCTACCAACCTGTCCTCACTGAAAAGAAACAAAATGTTCTTTCCAAACAATCTGGTTGGGAGCGTGTCAAGAAAGGAATTTTACAAATAAGAGGAAAAGGGTTTAGAGCTATATTGACAGCGTGGGACACGATTTAGTCGGTAGTCACCTCCTTTCCACTTGTTTTCTTTCTCGGCATCTCGGGCGCGTGGAGGAGAGGTGGATCGACTTGGCCGTCATTTTAAGGTGGAGAGAGTCTAGGACCATTCCGTGACATCATGGACTTTGTGCGCAGAATTTTGAAATAAATCTCGCGCCGTCAGCATTGCTCTAAAAAAAATTTTTTTTCGTGTAAATTTTATTTTTTGGCACGTGTGTCCCAACTAGACTCTTAAAAAAATACATTTTTTTTTCTTCTGAGTGTTTCTTTAATACGCTCGTTCCATTTATTTAAATTGTATTTAAATACTTTTCCCAGAAGTGTAATTGAATTTGTAATTAAACACACTTTTTGTCTAAGTATTGTATTTGTATTTAAGGGGACATGCGCTAAGGAAAAACCTTTTTTTTAATATTTGAAATAGTTTAAGGAAACTTTCACTGTCTATATGGCTTGATTTCCTCTTTCTAAATCTTGTGTTAGTTCCGACAAAGCTGCTTTTGGCGATGTTCTGCATGCAGTACAAATATGGAAGAAACTGTATCCTTGTGCACTGGTGGGGCACTGTAACAAGTATAAAAGAGCATTGTAAAATGGACCAATTTGTTCCCTTGGAACCACTGATTGCAAGTAACAACAGGAATAGTGTGTGTGAAATCTCCTTTATTTAAAAAAAAAAATTGGAGGTCATGAAAATGGCGTGCTTAAAGGGCAGGCAAATGTTTTTTGCAACTTGTACGATTATAGTGATACCATACATTATAACAGGACCTTGACAGTTGCATTCTACACACCTCAGAGCATAAGCATGCCAAATTTGGTTGGGATGGAACTATGTGAAGTACAAAAATTCTTGCGTGTCAACTGTGGGGATGACACAAAACAACAAAAGGAGGAAAACTTATTTGAATGTTACCATGGATGTGCACTAGTAAAAAAGCAGCCCAGTTGACATGAAATTTGACCACAATGCATGCCAGGGCTTTGCAAGATGGCACAGAAGTTTAGAATTCTCCCGCACCATATGTGGCTCTTTCACAGTCCATGCAACCACTGCCTTGACATTGACAGCGTAACTGACATGGGAACTGCCACTTCCGGTCTCGCAATACGGCTCCCGACTAACATTCTCGGCCGCAGAGGCACGCCTCAAAGAATGCGCCGACGAAAGCACGGACGTAGGGAACTGGTAGCACAACTCCAGAAAAGATGCTAGTCCCTTTTGCGTAGCAGCCAATTCCTAAACGGCGAGTTCGCACTCTGCAAGTCGAGCATGCCATGGCACTGACGAGAGCTTTTATCGCGCCAATCTCGCAGATCACAGTACTTGCATGCTCATCTGCAGCTCTCTCCCCATTTTCAAACATCCTGATCTTCTTTTCCGATGCACTAACAAACTCGTCTCAGCGCTGCCGATGAAACTCGAGCAATCGGACTCGGAAGCATCACTCCGACCGAGGTTAGGGTTAGCTGCCGCAGCTGAACTTTTCTTCTTTGAAGCTGTCATAGGTTCGTGAGGATGTCGTGTCTGGATAAATGAAAATGAGACCGTTTGCTTTGAGAATTGTTTAAACAAAGAAGAGATAAACAAAAATATTTACTGTAACGGTATCAGTAAAGGTTCTACAAAAATATTTACAGCAGCGGTATCAGTAGAGGTTACACACACGGCTTCCGCAGAAATTAATGTCAATATACAAAATTTTTTATGTCATACGTTAGGCCTCGAAGTCTTCTGTCGTTGCGACGGTAAAGATGGCTGAGCGGGTGTACTCTTGGGTTCCGGACCTTGAGAAGCACGGACGAACCCAGCGAGAGCGATGGCCAGACTGACGGGTCCCTGACTTCCCCGGCCTTCTGGAACCAGGACAAACTCAGTGGTCGGCGTGCCCTTTGGACTGCTCGTTTGCTTCTCCCTTTTTTCCATTCTTTCCCGCTCGTGCTTTTTTTCCGGCCGTCGAAGGTTAACCTTGTGACACGCGGGGCCGTGTCATGACGGAAACATCTGTAGCCCGGTGATGGTTCTCGGTCGCGCACATCACAGAAGCTTTCCGCTTGCCCTTTTGGCAACTTCCTTGAGCTTGTGTGTCGTCCGAAACTTCCGAGCTCGAAAGTCGCGTTTTCGGTCGACGTCCATCGCGAAGAAAGCAGGATGATCGAACAAGTCGTTGGTTCTGGTTTCCGGAGCAGTGCAACGTTAAAACTGCAAGCAAGCTTTGCCGCGCATCACGTTGCTGTCGGCCAATGGTGGGGCCACGATCACATCACGTGATTTAAAAGGCCAGTGGCAATGTGCGTTTGCAGCGGGAAAGGACACTTATTTCTTATTATTTGCAACCAGAGTATGAAACTATCGACGACAGTTTTGGAGTGAAAACGGCTAGGCCTACGTGCCAAATAAACGCGACAATGGACGACGGCGGGTGACGCCGCTATTATGCGGTCAAAAATTATTCAGATTTGCGCTCTTTTCCATCGCAAGAAGGGCTTCAAACTCTTAACTCTCTAATTTTGCGATAATATCCAGTCTAGATTTTTTTATACGCAAAAGGCGAAGGGTCAAAGATAATAAAACACAAAAAAATGCAAAATCACTTTTTTTTTTTATCAAATAGCAGTTTTTTATTTGCATCTCCCCTTAAATACATTTTTGGAAGTGTTTTTTTTTTTGCCCATCCTTGTAAACAGGTATGCCACACATGAAACATGGGTGAAATGTATAAGTTTATTCATCCCTTAAAAAGACTGCCTATCGTGGACTGTTTAGACAGCGTATGGCACCTCAAAATAAAATTAAGTTAGCTCATCCAGCAAAAAAAGCTGTCTATCGTGGACTAGTAGCCCCATTGAGTGTACTTGTTACCGAGCAAGCACCGGTGCACTGCAAAGAAGCAACACCCGCGGACGCGAGCTCTGCGAGTGCCGCTTTTCTTTAGTGCACCGGTGCTCGGTAAGAGGCTTGCTCAATTGCACCGCTAGAACGAAAAGTGTGAATTAAACAAGAACGCCGTTCGAATTAAACGGCTCATGAACACATTAAAAGCACAGCGAGAAAACTAGAATTTTTTTTTTTTTAATTTGTTTCGATTAACTGGAAGTATGAAATATCTTATCGTAAAATTCCGTAAGAATGCCCACCCAAAATGAAGGGGTAAATGGGGGACAACATGAGGTAGGTTATGTTTGGGGATGCGACAGCAAAACTTTATCAGAAATTACAGTAAAACCTCATTAATTCGGATCTCATGGGATCGGCAAAAATGTCCGAATTATCCGAAAGACAAAATATCGAAAGGACAAAGAAAACTGCGCGAAAATGTTTCCTTGTGACATACTTTTATTTTGAGAAGAAGTCTGTCATTGCCGCCTGCTTTCTGGACAACATTTGGGCAGAGACAACTTTCCTTAGCGCGGTCAGGTGCTCCACCGCACTTGCACTGTCAGAGCTACGCATCTTGTGCGCTGACAATTTACCACAACAAGGCCTCTTCTAGTTTCGGGTGCACCACCAGCCGCTTTCTTTTCGCGTTCAACTTCTCGCTCCCGAAAGCCTGTAAGATCTCGGACTCAATTCTCATCTACAACAAATACGATATAGCTTCGCCAATACTGGAAACTCCTCCGAAAACACATAGGAGCGGCGGCGAACGTGACAGTGGCGCCTCTAGCGGACTCGGAGTCTACGGAAGCAGTCGTCGCAATGGAAAAGTATAGGCTCCGCGACGTCCTCGAGCTTTACGAGCCCCGTATCGTCACCCTAACAGCAGAAACAATTTATTACGGTCAGTTCGCTTGCAAAGCGGAATCCACTGATCACAACTGCAACAACAATCGAATAACAACGCGCGCATAAACAAAGATAGAGCAGTTTATTTAGCGGTCTCAAATGCCTCCCAGGGGATCACACGCGTTTGAAACGCGTCTGGGAGGCGGAAAAAAGGCGTTTAGCTACTCGAACTACGTCGTAATAGTTAAAACATGCAAAAACGACATGTTAATATTACCAGAGCAAGCGCACGAGCTGCTGGAGCATAAAAACAAAACAAAAAGTAAGGATAAAAATGAACGTGCAAACACTTACCGAACTTTGCAGAAAAAATGGTGTCGCCATTCCCGACGAAAATAAGAAGAAACGGGAAAGAGAAGCGAACAACGGCGAATAAGACAAAGAAGCTAGCAAAAAAACTATTTCAACGACGACGATCGTTGCGGCGCTTGGAAAGCAGCAAATGAATAGCTGGTGGTCGCCACCGGTGTTGAGTTCACGACAAA